AAGCTAACTGGTTGTCACCAAATCTGCATATCCAGTTGTACTAATGAATAGCCAATAACATGTATATGTTTGTTTCACTGAAGATATGCATATAAAATACTCATTACAAAACATGCTGTATCTTGATTGCCAATATGATTATTGTTGTCCCTACAACTCACATTTTGAAGGATTCACTTTTTGTTAATCATGTTGCCTTTTATTTTATGTGTAGTTCCACTCTCAGTTATGTCAGGTACTATATTAAAGAGTACTGCTTAAGTAAGCAATGCTTTCAATACAAAGTTTTGAACCCCACTACAGTATCCTTGCCTAAAAATAAAAAAAAGCAGGCAAATAAAATACAAATTCAGAGCAAAGGTTATTTAATGAAACAGAATCAAATGGTAAATAACAACAAATTGAGTCAGATAATAAATATTTTTGGTATCTATAACAAATGGATGTCACCTCCCATTCCTTGTAGGATAAAGTCTCTAATTACTCTGTCCCCCAAACATAGTGGGACAGGATCATTTTCAGATCACTCAGGGCATGGGCTTTGAAGGTTACAGTCCAAAGTATTCTTGCTTAACCATTCGCCTTTCAATACTAATGAGACAATCTAGTAAAGTGCTGATTTCTCAGTGCTATAGACAGAGAGTGTTGACATTTGACTTTTTTTTTTTTTTTGGCCAGGTAAATGATGGAATCTCTTATCACAGAGATGAGTTTCAAGGTGTCAAAGACAAGGGTCTTATTTTGTGATTCTCCTATTACCACCTCTCTGTCCATATTGCCTTCTTCACAAGACGGTCTTCACTTTTTTGTTAAGTCTATTATAGTATGGGTATTCCTCATCGAATCAGAATCTTATTTGGATTCCATCACCGCGTGGTGGGCTCACTCACAGTCCTCCAAGAAATAATAGGCTAGATAATTTTCTCCCCTGAGTAAGGACCCCTTAGATGTAAACATTATGGGAAATGCCCATCTTACAGACAAGCCCATTATATGTGTAACCATCGATAGAGGGTTAGAAATATGGTTTCTCTACCACTATATAACTTTTAACTGTTAAAATTTCATTTGTTCACCCATTAATTTGCTATTAGTGACAGAAAAGGGGGCCAGAACTAGGAAAATGCTGAAGTTTTATTATAGTATGAAGTTTTGTGGGAAAAGTAAACATGCACCTGACTCTGGCAGAAGAGCTAAAGCAAATATATTTGTGGGAATAAGAATAAATTCAATTACAATGTTGACAGCTAGACTGGATTCATGTAGACTAGTTAAATATCTTACATACTGGTGATGGATCATCTAAACCAATTCACAGGCTAGTGCTTAGATACTCCATGCTTTTAGAATTCAGAGCTAAATGACAGCCAAACTGTTATTAAACCCAATCCCCTAATTTTATTCTTTGTCATATCACCAGAATATCTCTACTATTTGTGCATAGTTATTTACATGGTATCTCCCTTACTAGAACGTGAGCTCCTTGAAGGCAGAAACTGTCTTTCAGCTTTCAGCACTTAGTACGGCGCTTTGCACAGAATAGGTGCTTAAAAATTGACTGACTGATCTTACGTGTAACAGTTGCTTCATAAATGCAAGGTAAATAAAGGAGTAAATTATAATATGCCTAATCAGAAAGGCCCATATTTTTTGTAGTGAAATTCACATTTAAATGAGCTATACAACAAAGATACCTAGAGGGTTGGGGTTAAACTGGAAGGAATATTAAATAATATTAGGATCATAAAATTTTCGAGCTGAAAGAAAACTTAGATCCATCAGTACTTACTTATTGAGTACCATCGTATACATGGAACTGTGTTATGCACACTGTAGAATAAAAATTATAAGACAATCTCTGGTCTTTCAGAGGAATGCCATTTTTTGTTGTTGTTGTTATGTGTGTGTTTTTTTTAAGGAGATTGGGGTTAAGTGACTTGCCCAGGGTCACACAGTTAGTAAATGTGTCAAGTGTTTGGTTTGAGGCCAGATTTGAACTTAGGTCCTCCTGACTTCAGGGCCAGTGCTCTATCCACTGTGCCACTTAGCTGCACTGATTATTTTTGAGATAAGAATTCATTCTTTGAAAAGTAAATGGTTCATCTAATATTAAACAGCTTCTTAGAGACAGAGAATCCAACTCTTCTGATTCCTAGTTATGGTGACTGAGCCATATCAAGCACAAAAGACATTTGATCAGTAGTGCATAGTAAAATGAATGACTTGATTGTGAAGATGCAAGTACAATATTTAGAAGTGATCCATGCTAAAGAGAAGTGCTTAATTTGAGTCATCTGAATTCATAATCTATAATATTACTTTCAAGTAATGTTTATACTTTCCCATCTCTATAAAATTGCTATGAGAATAATTCACATGTACATTGAAGGAAGACTTCATGAAGTTATGCAACTGTAAGAGGCTGTTTTGCAAACAGCATTCTTTAACATACCATATCTTTATAATAACACTAAGTGGTATAGTGTATACTGGATCACATTGTGTTTATGTTCTGTTTGCCATAAACAAGCATTTGATTAATAAGAACAAAATCGCATCTTAAATTCATTTGTCTACCAAAGTGTCTTCCATATGTATATGTATATGTATATGTATATGTATATGTATATGTATATGTATATGTGTATGTGTATGTGTATGTGTATGTGTATGTGTGTATGTGTATGAGTATGTGTGTATGTGTATATGTGTGTGTATGTGTATATGTGTATATGTATATGTGTATGTGTATGTGTATATGTCTGTGTCTATGTCTATGTGTATATAAAATCATACAAGATTCCTTGAATATGCAATAATAGAGATGATTTTGTTCAATAACTCTCTAATCCCTTATATCAGGTATAAAACATGAAGACCTATGCTTGTCCCAGGTGTTTGCCACTGTTATGAAATATATTCTACCCAGAGTCCACATGTAAGACAGATTCTTTGTAAATGGTGGGGTCCTTCAAATGCTCCAGTTTGCAAGTGAAATTATGCTAATTACATTAAGGCCTGCAACATTGCTGAACTTCCTAAATGAGATGAAGACTGCTTATTGTCCAGACTTAGGACATTCAGTTGTCCATACAACCTACAAAATATTCCATTAGCACATAAATCTTGTACTGATAATGCCAATGGTCAATGAACTTTACCTAGAATTAAAGAGGAAGAGAAGAGTCATGGTCTAGATTTCCTTGGCAGAAATGCTAGTTTTCCAAGTATTTATCTGAATAAAAGCCTCATTAAAATAAAAATAGTTCTTCAGTGGTACTTTATGGTTGTAAGACATAGAATACCATAGCTTCTGAAGAATTCAAGTTGAGGGTCTCCCAAAATGTAATAGGAAGTTGCACAATGTACGTGTGAACAAATGGAAACACATCACCAATAAAAAATTGTAAAAGAGATACAGCATAAAGGATATTAGCATATAGGTATATGTCCATAAAAGAAGCCAGTCTAGTAGTTCCATAGTGAAGAAAAGGGATAACCAAAGGATTACCCACATGATCTACAGTTATCCATGTAATAGTGAGACTGAGGTTAATTCCCTAAGGACCTGGACTGGCTCCTTTCAGGTCAATGTACAGAAAGACATTGACAAAAATTGTACAATCATCGAGGGCATGGATGAATTGTAAACCACATCATTAGAGAGAGTAGTCGCATTGTTGAGATCACAGACTCATTGAGGAACAGAAGTATTTCTGGCCTATCTTTTTTTTTTCCTCTTATCATTGCTTTGTTTGTTTTAATTCTCACCAAACTGGTTTCATGTTAGAGCAACCCTCAATGAACAAATGTGTCAAAAAGCCCCGTCTTAGCTAGTTTCTTTATGAAACATATTTGCTGCTAGAAGTTCTGATTTTGTGCAAGTAATATGCAATGTCAAAAAGTAGTAACATTATTAGATATGTATGCCAAATTCTATCAAATTCAAGTTCATTATGAAAAATTTGCTGAATTACAAAAAGACCTAGAATTCTAGGTCCTCAAGTGTGGCCCTTTGACTAAATCCAAACTTCACAAAACAGATCCCCTTGATAAAAGGATTTGTTCTGTAAAACTTGGACTCAGTGAAAAGGCCACATCCAAGGACCTAGAAGGCCACATGCGACCTTGAGGCAGCAGGTTCCATAACACTTGAAGGAAACATTAAAGACTCAAAATTAGATAAATTTGAGATTTCATTCAAGTCAAGTGGATTTGAATCCTGCTTCAAAAATGGGAAGAATTATATCAGTCTTCCTTGCCTTGTTTGTAAAATGGGAAAAATCATATCTGTAGTGCCTGTCTTATAGTATTGCTATTGAGAGAAAATGAGTTAACTTACTGGATGTAAGGCACTTGCATAGAAGTGAAAATTACTCCTGGTACTGCTACTATTCTTGCTTTGTGCCAGTACAGCTGCTGCTGAGAGTGTGGTGAGGATATAAATAAATGTATTTTTCACTATTTCTATCATCTACATAGATCTGGAATTTAAATGTTTCATACCCTTTAACCTTAGTGTTATCAATACTATGCTTATATCCCAAAAAGATCAAAGAAAAAGGGAAAAGGATCCATTTGTTTAAAAGTATTTATAGTGTCTCTTTTGTGTGTATGTGTGTGTGTGTGTGTGTGTGTGTGTGTGTGTGTGTGTGTGTGTGGTGGTCAAGAACTGTAAACTAAGGGGATGCCCATTAATTGGGGAATAACTAAACAAATTATAGGAATGTAATGGAATGCTTTCATGCCATACGAAATGTTATAAAAGATAGTTTCAGACAATCCTGTGAAGACCTACCTGAAGTGATTCAGAGTGAAGTAAGCAGAACCAGTAGAACAAGTTCTAAAATAGCAACATTATACAGACAAATAATGACTAACTATGTTTTCAGAGGACTGATGATGAAACATTATGTCTATATAGATGTGATAGACTCAGGGTTATAATGGGAAATTATAGATATTAATCTCACTTATTTATTATATTAATTATATTCTAGGTATATTTAAAGAAGACCAAAAATGCACCTATAGACCATCATTGCAAAGCTATGTCTGCAAACAGGCAGACTATGCACTTCTGATCCTTGAAATTATTGCTCCAGGGAGGAAAAATCCATCTCCAGTGCTATCAGTGACAAGTGGCTTTGTGGGAACCTTCTCTCGCATAGCTGCCCACCCCTCCTGCTCTGCTTCTTCATTTTTACCAGCTTTCTATTCTGTTTTACCAATCAACTCACTCACCAAAATTTGCTTTGTGAATTGTGTTCCTCAAGCCATGCGTTTTTATCTCATTGGGAGTGAAAGGTCCTCTAAACTTCTGGCTGTGTTCTACTTTGAGCTTCAGAGCCCTCGTGTTTTCTTCCGTGGACATTTCATCCCGCCCACTCCAGTTCCATCAGACGCTTGGCAAGAGAGTGGGGCTATTGGTACCAACTATTTCAGCTTCATGGATAATCTTTTGTATATCCTCCTGCAAGGGGATGAGCCTGTCGAGGTGCATTCTGCAGTTTCTATCCATGTAGCCTTCACAGTGACATTATCAATCACACTGGAAGGTTGGGAAACAGCCATTCAACAAAGATTGGCTCGTTTCTTACAGATTGGCCAAGACTGTATCAGAATTGTTCATGTAATGCCAGGTGGTGAATGGACCTTAAAGGCCATTGCTGATGGTGCGGCCAAAAGGCAACATCACTGCCCCACTGGGACCTTTTGTACTAGTTGTCCTAGAATGGATCAGCATAGAAGGCTCATGAAAAAGATGGAAACATGGGTCCCACCACCAACTTATTCAGAAAACAATTCAAAAGTGGTGGTCATTGAAATTGGTGATCTGTCAGCTATAGGAAGTGCCAAAGTGGCTCCCTCCTTATCCACCGATGCATTGCAGCGTTTGGCTCATCAGATTATCAATGCTCAACAGACTGGGGAATTGCAGGAAGCCTTGGATATGCCAACTGAGGCCCTGCTGATCAGTCTTTCAGCTGGAGTAGATACTTCTGGGTAAGTGTTTGCTGAAGTAAAAGCTGTTGTCATGAATTTTGGTAGCAAATTCAGTCAGGTCTTCTTGGCTTCACATTACAGATGGGGAAACTGAGGCACAGAGAAGTTAAACTAATCACCCTGAATCACATGACTGAAATAATACTCTAAAGTCAGAATGAGAATTCAGATAATTACCCAAGTTTTCATGCATGATCTTTTAATTTTTGTTTATGTACTCTGTACCTGGTTAATTATCCTCAGATCACTGATAGTTCTCAAGAAAGATTTGAAAAAAAATCCATTTTAGGATTCCCTAATTCGATTTAATTTTTAAATGAAATTTGATATCAGAAATTTTAAATTAAATTTTAAAAGAAAAACTTAAGAAAGGCAGTGTGGCATGCTGAATGGAGAGCCAGCATGGAGTCAGGAGTACTATGGTTGAAGTCCCACATCTGATAAATATTGGCCATGTGATGATGGCCAAATCATAATTTCTCAGTGTCTATAAGTAATGAAGGAGGTATTGATCCATATTGGTAAAAGGAGTTTCCACAAAAGAAGTTCCCATATGCCAGTGAAATCACTGGAGTGGTCCTACCCAACCAGCAGCCTCACTACTCCGCACGCAATTATAAAATTATTTTAAAAAGTCAAATTATGATCAACAGCAGCAAAATCAGATAAAGAATCGAAGCAGCAAAACCTTACATAAAATCTTTAGCATTTAACAAGATAGAACCATCTCAATGATTACTAGACAAAAGAATATTTTTATTTTGTGTTCTTGTCCAGATTTTCCTGATTTTATGCTACTTCTGCCCTTTACCCCCTTACTTGAAAAAAAAATAGCTGCAGCCAGTGTGTATACTATTTTTGTTCTGCTGATTTACCTTTGGATCACTTTATACAGATTTTATGATTGTTTCTTTCGTTGTTCTTATCATTTTTCATAGCACCATAATATTCCATTATGTTAATATAACCATGATTCATTCAAAAGTTCCTCTGATTGTTAGTCACATAAATTATTTCTCATTTTTAAATTGGTTGTGCAGTGGATAGATTCAGGAAGACCTGAGTTCAAATATGACCTCAGATACTTCCTAGCAAATCACTTAGCTCCTTTTTGCCTCAGTTTTTCCATCTATAAAATGGGGATAATGATAGCATCTACTTTCCAGGGTTCTTGCGAGGACCAAATGAGAAAATCGTTGTAAAGCATTTAGCACAGCACCTGGTACATAGTAAGTGCCACATAAATGTTAGTTATTATTAGTAGTATAGTAGTAGTATTAATGTCATCATTGTTATGACTTGCTATAAACCATTTTGCATAGATAGACCCTCTTTTCCTTTTTATGATGTATTTACTATAAAATCTTAAATTTGAATTTCTAGATCAAAAGGCATAATTAAGTTGTGTATCTTACTGAGTATTGCTTTAATTGTACCTCAATATTTGCATTAGTTTACATTCCCACCAGGAATATACGTGGAGCAAAGTCAGCCCTGGTGTAGACAAATGAGTTAGCATCCTATGATTAACACATATAGCCTGCAAGGCTCTGCATCCTCAAGAAAGACCCAGGAAAGTTAAAAACAAACAAACAAACTCCAGGGTGGTCAAAAAGACACTGCGAGGAATGGTAGCAATCATAGCAACCCTGAAACACTTAGCCTGCCACAGCTCAGGCACAAAGGTCCCTGAGGACCTCAGCATTTGGCCCTGAGATGCCATAGAAGGCTCTGAAGAACCTGAACTCTGAACCTCAAAGATCAAGGAGGGGCCTCAGTCTGGGAAGTAGATGTTAGTGCAGGAACCCAGGGGACCCAGGGTGAGACCAAGCAGGAAAGACCACAACATGGGGAAGAACCTGTCTTGTCACTAAAGCCCAATTCAGCAACCATGGCTGAAGAGATGAGTAAAGCAAGATAGATGCCAGATATCATATATACTCACATACACAGATATAGGTAGACACATATGTGTGTATATATGTGAGATATACATATATATGCACATATATATGTGCCTATAAAATATATACACATGCAAATCTATACATGTGATATAAAGACATATGCTATATATACCTGATATATAATATGTATAATATTATACAATATATAATGTGTGTATGTAAAATCTAGATAATTTCCAAAAGAAAGAGCAATTATCTCTGTAAAAACTGCCAGCAAAAGCTCAAGGGAAAAGATGAATTTTTCACAAGGACCACAAGACTACCTAGAAGAAATGAAGCAAGAGATTTAAAAAAAAAAGAAGCAGCTTTGAGTAGAAGGAGAATAAATTACTTAGAACATAAAGTGGTAAGCCTTACCCAAGTAATGTAGTCCTCAAAGCTAGAACAGATCAAACAGAAATCAATGACTTCATGAGATAGCTACATATATGTATAAAATATGTATATACACATGTGTGTATATATACATACACATGTACACATACATACTTAGTACACACACTCACACATATATACACACACACAAAATCAAAAAATTGAAAAAAATAAAAATGTAAGATATCTAACATCAAAAACAAGTGACCTGGAAAAAGGGTCAAAGAGAGATAATTTAAAAATCACGGGACTCCCTGAAAATCCTTTTGAATACAAAAAGGAAAATATTACTGGGAAGAAAATAGCCTCCAGCAAAGCAAACTTTCTAATCCTGAAGGGGTGATTAAGTGTCGGGGGGGGGAGTAAAAAAATCTAAGAAGTCGAATGTAGGAGGGTGCCACATGTAGGTAGACATATGTGTGTATATGTGATATGTACACATATATGTATGTAAAATAATTAGAATCATACAAATGTACATATGTAAATATATATTATCACAAAGCAAGAATTAATTAATTTATTTTAATTAATTAATTTATTTTTAGTTTTCAACATTCACCTCCACAAATTTTTGAGTTCCCAACTTTCTCCTCCTCCCTCCCCTCCCCTCTCTCCAAGATGCCTTACAATCTGATAAAGCCTCTACATATACATTCCTATTAAACATATTTTCACATTAGTCATGCCATAAAGAAGAATTAGAACCAATAGGAGGAATCACAAGAAAGAAGAAACTAAAGAAAACAGAAGGGGAAAAAAAGAGCAAATAGTATACTTCAATCTGCATCCAGACTCCACAATTCCCTCTCTGGATGTGGACAGCACTTTCCACCATGAGTCCCTTGGAGATGTCTTAGATCCTTGCATTGCTAAGAGCTAAGTCTATCAAAGTTAGTCATCGCATAATGTGGCTGTAACTGTGTACAATGTTCTCCTGGTTCTGCTCACTTCACTCAGCATCATTCCATACAAATCTTTCCAGGTTTTTCTGAAGTCTGCCTGCTCATCATTTCTTATAGTACAATAGTATTCCCTTACATTCGTATACAACAACTTGCTCAGCCATTCCCCAATTGATGGGCATCCCCTCAGTTTCCAATTCTTTGCCACCACAGAAAGAGCTGCTATAAATATTTTTGTACACGTGGGTCCTTTTCCCATTTTTGTGATCTCTTTGGAATACAGTCCTAGAAGTGCTATCGCTGGGTCAAAGGGTATGCACATTTTTATAGCCCTTTAGGCATAGTTTCAAATTGCAAAGCAAGAATTTATAAGAAGTTTCCATCTTTTTGTTGTTGTCTGTTATTGTTCAGTCATTTTCAGTTGTGTCCAACTCTTTGTGACCCCATTTGGGGTTTTCTTGGCAACAGTATTGGAGTGGTTTGCCATTTCTTTTTCCTGCTCATTTTACAGATGAGGAAACTGAAGTAAACAGGATTAAGTGACTTGTGCAGGGTGACACAGCTATTAAGCGTCTGAGGCTAGATTTGAATTCAGGAAGATGAGTCTTCCTGACTCCAAGCCTGGCACTCTATCCACTGTACCACCTAGCTACCTTTTTCCATCTTTTACAGAAATAAAAAGGGAAAAAAAATAGAGGATAATGTTTTAAAAATGAACAAACACTTTTTGTTATTTCCTAAGGGCTTAGGCTCACTTTGCAAATAAGTAAAACCATATAAAAATATCTTTCAAATCCTTGCAGTCCCAAAAAGAAAATATTATCAATCACTAAGGACTCTTAAATTTTCTCTTCATTCTTTCCAAAGATGACATACACAAATAGAAAAACTGACATACATTTGTACTATAACGTACAGATTTGCAACAGCCTGGTTATCCTTCCAGTTATTTATTTTGTATCGCAAAGTATACTTGTTTTCATGTTTTTATTGGCTCTGGAAAAGCATAATAAAAGCTCAGGGGAGAGTAATCTTTAAACACTGATTTTCAACAATGCTGTTGTACCAATGTACAATAGTGCACACTCTATTGGTGATTAGGAAATTTGCCTCATTTTAAAGTAAATATAGCTTTTAGGTACGAACCTTTCAAAGGTAAAATTTGAAAAGCTTTGAGATAGCTGCTGTATTTCAAAATTTATAAATAATAATTTGTCAATGACTTTCTCAGAAACCAAGCAAGGGAAAGGCTTTTTTAATATGGTCAGTTTCAGCCTTAAGGGAGATCTAAAATAGCAATAGATAACATGCATTCCACAACCCCTAACAGAAGACTGTGTCTTGACTCTAACATAGTGATGTCATTTTGATTGTCTTCAAGGATGAAGGACAACAACCATCAGTCAACCAAGAGAAGGCTGTACATTGTAAACTGAAGACACCTCTGATGGGTGCTCTAATTCAATCCACGTTCTATCAGTTTTATATCCTCTATCTTTTATGATGCTAATCAAGTGGTTAAGGCCTTCTTGTTTCAAATGCTGCTTGGTTTCTCTTATACATACATAGAGGCAGCTAGGTGGCTCAGTATATAGAGCACTGAGGTCTGGAGTCAGAAAGAACTGAGTTCAAATCCTGCCTTAGACACTTACTAGCTGTGTGTCCTTGAATAAGTCACTTAATCTCTGTTTGCCTTAATCCACTGGACAAGGAAATGGGAAACTACTTTGATATCTTTGCCAAGAAAACTCTA